TTATACACTTGATTATGGTTGCGCAAACATTATAACACGTGATGAGGGTTACGCAAAGAGTACGAACCCTGGTGAGTGGTTACTAATGATGTATTAATTTCGAACTATTGCGTTATTAAAACACAGTAGACTATAAAATAAAGGACATAAGAACCCATGTCTTACCTTGTAACCTTTGAGATGAGTCAGTCTTGCGCATTCGTTAATCGTCTTATTCATGTTAAACCAATCGATATCTGGCCTCAAGTTCTTGAGGAGCTCAGGAATGGCGTGTGGAGATCCGTCCAGAAAACAACCAAGAGATTCCACTGAAATAGAGAACAGTACCAAGGTGAATTGACCTTCATGAGAATGCCAAGGCCAACCAATTACATCATTGAATTAGAGAATGATTGAAAACTCCTCAGAGATGTTGTTTTTATTACTTACTGAATGAGTGTTACTTACTGCATGGGTGTTACTTACTGCATGGGTGTTACTTACTGCATGGGTGTTCCTGGAACTTTACGTCATCTAGTGCAATATCGCCGTTAAAACTCTTTCCTCGAACTCCTTCAATGATCAACTACAGTTAATAAAAAAACATCAAAATTTTAGCCATAGATATTAATTTTCCTTCTATTTTCGCTTTATTCTCTCTCCCTTTCTTGATTTCTCCCTTCTTTCCATCCATCCTTTCCMCACATTTTCCCTTGCTTTCATTTCTTTCTTTTCCTAATTCATTTTCTCACCTCGTAATTCGAGTCAATGAACAGCGACACCTGCGCCAGTTTCCAAGTGGTTCCCTGCTCACCGACTCTAGTCCACAGTTTACGCAGCCCACCCCCGTTGGTTTGAGAATAGACATTCAATTCACCGATGGACGAGCCCCGCATATGATACCAAAACGATAGACAACGACCAGATGTTGGCGGGAAAGTCTTGCTTATGATCCTCGCCTTGTATCCAGGTTGAGCAGGACTGGAAGACTCGATATACAAGTAATGACCTGGAAATTGAATGATACAAGTTTTCAAACTTCATTAATCTGAATTTGTGGCTTGATTTGGTTAGTGTGCTGCCTGCTAAGCAACAGGCTTATAGTTTGATCCTCAGTGACCTAACACACTTGTTTTAAGAAGCAAGTGTTGCTTGGTTGGTTAGTGTGCTGCCTGCTAAGCAACAGGCTTATAGTTTGATCTTCAGTGACCTCACACACTTGTTTTAAGGAGCAAGTGTGGCTTGGTTTGGTTAGTGTGCTGCCTGCTAAGCAAGAGGTCCATAGTTTGATCCTCAGTGACCTSACACACTTGTTTTAAGGAGCAAGTGTGGCTTGGATGGTTAGTGTGCTGCCCTTAACAAAAGGTCAATAATTTGATTGTACACCTATTGTTTTTCACTTCTTATAAATTTCTAAACATTTCAACTCGTACCTGTTCCAGTAGTGTGGTCAGCGGTTGGTCCAGTATTTTTACTCGGTGTCGCCCCAGTCCCACGCAGCCAGTCAAAGGTGTAAACATTGYTTTGTTCATTTTTCCAGAAACAAAATCCATCAAAATCAAACTCACAATCATCGGGACCTTCAACACACAGATATTCAAAMATTTGCCATAGTTATAGTTCGAACGCTCTGATTGGATGATGTCAACGAAAGCCACACGGGAGTAAAATCCTTAAGAGCTCGTAAAATATACTTTTCCTGAAGCTTAAGATTGTATGAGAAACACACTTATTTCAACATTTACTGGCGATAACATTTTCACTGAGGCTCAGTAGGAGACAGTAGAACAATTCTTGAGGAATTTATTAAGCACTGCCTCGTTAGCGCAGTAGGCAGCGCGTCAGTCTCATAATCTGAAGGTCGTGAGTTCGATCCTCACACGGGGCATTATTTTTTATTAAGAAAAGGGTTCAATTTTTTTTAGGAATTCTGTAACAAAAGTCAAAAATATGGAATAGTGCACGTGTGTTTATAATTTTGAGAACATTTTAATTCATAATATATCGACGAGCTTCATTTTTCCATGTTTTTCTTATTCTTTCAGTAGATTGTCTCTTGTCAATGTTTGTTCACAACCGGTAAACTCATCCTAAAGCGTGGCCTAACGCGAGGCAACGCGGGGAAAAAAATGACAAAATGGCCGACACGTGAGAAAGGTTTGACTTACCAAGCCCACACCGTCTGAGATAACACGAGTGGGACTGAGTCGAGTTGCCCGTACAATTTGAACCGCCATTTTTGGGAAGAGGGTCATCACATTGTCTTGTTCTCGTCTGGTACCCAGGGCCACACGAGGTGCAGTTACTCCAAGAAGACCATCTGCCCCAGTGACCATCGACTGGTGCTGGGAAATGTAGGAAAGGAACACAAGGAAAGAAAGAGTTAAATGCATCTAAATACGATCTTTTTCAGTTTACCTTGGAAAGCTATACAACGGTGTCCCAATTCCTTTTAGCAGTGCGATAAATTTTGGAGAAATCCCAGCATGTTAGCATTTTTTTCGCGATTATCTATTTTCCCCGATGATCTAATTCCCAGTCCTAATTTATGAAATTTCATTTTTATTCCAGTGCAAAAATATGCAGCAAATCTTTATAGTTTTCATATTCCATCCAATATGTATTTATTGAAGTTGCTATATGTCTTGTTATGATTTGAAATTTTAAAACTTATATACGGGCTCTCTAGATAGCAGGCACACCCTGAAATCATCCAGGATCTGCCACCAGTGAAATACCGCTTTGTCCATCACCACGGACTCAAATATTAAATCTAAATCCGACTCACCATAACATTCCGTATTGTTACAAACCACTGTCTCAGTTTCCACGTTGTAAGGATGGTTGCCAGGACAATCAACCGCTGGATTGTCAGAGAAGCAGTATCGCTGGCGCTGCTTCTTACAATCGAGGCTACACGGTCCAAAACTAGACCACGGGCTCCATCCAGGTTTAGCAGTGTCTTTAACAGAACGAGAAAAAAATTCTTACGAGTGATTTAAAAAAAGAAAAGAAAACTAACGAAACCCATCCAGCTTGCAGTCGAAACTTTGCGATCCTTTCTACAAATGAGCCTTAATCGTGAGACAAACGAATAAGGAACATTTATTAAAATAGTATAATTCTTATTTCAGTGATATTATTTCCTATTCCAACGACATAGATTCCGGTCCTAGTACATTAAATGTCATTTTTTCAGTGAAAAAGTGAGCAAGTCTTTCCATCTTAATCTTTCACGAAATGCATAGTAATATTTAGCAATTATTGGTGAATGTTTGCCGAGGCGCGAGTCTTCGAGCGGAGGCGTGATGTAATTTTAGAATTGAATATCAGAGAAAAGATTCAGGATGAAAAAACGATTAAGTATTACTTCCTATCTGGCAAACTTGGAAAGTCTCATTATCACCACTCAAGCAGTGATTCTCGTCTCAAAATCACTGGTCAATCACAGCGCGCCAAACTTTACATTCAAGTCTAAAATTCTACTAAAAAGAAATACTTACTTTTGCAGTCATACATGGAATTAATCTCATGAAGATCAGTCGGTGAAAACCCCTGTGTGGTTCCCAGCGGCCTGTTTGGGTCGTGAAGGRCCCTTATCGTGTCTTTTCCGTTCTTTGAGAACTGTTTTCTTCCATAATGCATGATGCTGTCGTAGTCGTAAGGTACTTGAAGACCGTCTACCATATCGTGCTTGTATTTATTGAAATTGTGTGCCTTCTCTAAACAAAACGATCGTTAAAATACCCGCTATTAGTATGGGAATTTATTATTATTCTTTTAGAATTACTCCTTTGTGATTATTGACAAGAGAAAAACTGAAAATTCACAAGACGTGGCCGCCATGTTGGATGACATAACCAAAGGAAAACCTTTTGTTAAACTCAACCAAGATGGCGGCCATGACCATATATAGCATTCTTCGCTTTAGGCACCTTCAATGATGTTCTCCCACAGCACCTCCACATATTGGTTCCTGTSGGTTCTGCTGTGTTCATGCCAGAAACCAATAGCATGCATTAACTCGTGTATTACCGTTTCCATGTTGTTACAGGAAGGACCGAGGGACAATTCCTGTCCGTAATTTACGCGCCAATACTTTCTACCGACGGTTGACCAGCAACTGGAAGAGAAATAATCTTTGATTGGTTAGTGTGACTGGTTACTCGTTTAACTTGTTTTCGTCTAGTTTGCCTGGCTTTACTAGTTTGACTAGATTCACTGTTTGATGACTTTAAAGGCCGATTCACACGGTACGATTTTTCCTCACAACTCGCGCGCAAGATGCTTTCGACACGAATTGCTTCTTGCAAATCGACTGTACAACTTGCTTACGACTTTGAATGGCAGCCAAAACTTGGCGTAAGAATGTTGCGCGACAGTTGTGAGGAAAATCGCACGTACCGTGTAAATCGTCCTTATTATCAAGTTTGACTGGTTTGACAACTTTAACGTGTTTGATTGGTTTGATRATGACGTACCCCTCTTTATGAATAAAGACAATCCAGTTTGACTGGTTGGTTCTTGGTCTAAACTTCAAACAAGTCTTGAGATGAAACTCGTCTATGGCCGCCATGACCGTACTGTGATATGACACTTGATAAAAGATAACAAAAAAATAAGGAAGAGCGCAAGAAATTCTGGTCGTCGTAGTATATGACGTGATAATGCACACAGCCTATTAGTTTACTCAAGACGGATTAACTTTCTCACCTGGTATGCTTGAGTCAAACTCGTATGGTACTTCCCTGTTCGACCACAGTGCCTGCTTGTCACGCATCACATTCCTCTGGTAACGATTGCGTGACGAGTCTCCATCCACGTCACCTTCGTCTGTCATGTCGACTTTATCTTTATCTATGTCMATCAACATGATATCCCCCTCGAATAGATCCAGGCCTAGTTCTAAATTGACAAGAAAAAAATTAGCTTCAAGAGATTACCCAAGGGACCCAATCATGTAGGAATTGGGCTGTTGCGAAATCATTATATTTTTCCTGTGAAATTTAACTTAAAAGACAGACAGACAGACAGCTAGACAGACAGATAGCTAGACTGACAGATAGCTAGACTGACAGACCGAAAACTAGACAGACAGACACTGACAGACAGCTAGACAGATAGACAAATGAATCCGTCATTTTTTAATTGAATCTGTTGCTGTCTATATATACTGAGTATACTTATAAGGCCTCACGTTTGACTTTTAGGGACTTCCCTTTTTTAACCRCGAGTAAATTCCGATCCCTTTCAGTGAAAAAAAAAAACGTTCCAAAGAAGAAAGCGAAAACGTGTCATGGTGAAAAGCACAGTGAAAACAGACAGAAAAAGCCATGAAAACGTTTAGAAAGCCGCAATTAAAGCAACAATAACGTGTCAGATGATAGAACTTTTGAAACCAAGCTTTGCAATGCGAAAGAAAAATAGCTAAATGGAGAGATCCCAGGAGAGTTCGACTGAAGATATCTTGACAGCTAATTGTATCGTTTTTCAACTAAAACTGCGCAACATTTTCCAGGCAAAAAACCATACTATTTACCTGAATTTATAACAGAGATTTKATCAGTAACAGACTCGCCACTTGCTTTTTTAACATCCCACTTTGTTCCTTCGGCATAAGACTCTATAAAAGAATATTAAACAAAGCCGTTATATCTAAACAAACACTATATTTACTTATCCGGAAATGTTATTAACATCAAGAAAATCAATAAACAGAAATCCTTCTTTTGGAAGTACTACACTTCATTGAATAGGTTGGTTAGAAAARATAAAAATTTAGAAGAAAAGTATCCAATCATTGTTTTCAGGACACGACATAGCGAGCTTCGGAAGAAAGTCACTTTCTCTTGTTTTTCTGTGAAAAGCTCGCTGCTATAGGCTCAGTTTTAAATTCTAATTCGTGACAATCTCGAAAATTAAACAACTAAGAATACAAGGCTAAAACTTTGGAATCTGAGTTAAAAAGTATCAAAATTCTTACCTGTTTGAAGGTTTAGCATTTTCAAGGGCGTTGCATTTAGAAATCCAGCAGCAATCCAAACGCAGAACCCAAATTGAAAAAGCATTTCAAAATGTGCAGAAAAAACTTGGCTCTTACCGAGGTGTAACCGCAAGTAAAGAAAGACCTCAGAAGTGATAACGAAGCCTTTTTATATGATACAGTTAAGATGTTATCCAGCTGTAATGTTCGCATCCATTAAGCATTCTATAGCGAGAAGAGTCAAGTTTGGTTATAGTGTTCGTTTATCTGTTTGATTTCGAAATAAAATCTCACATGTTTTTCGTCTAATTACTCGATTCAATATGACAAAGTTGACCTTGGGTACTAATTGTTTACTTTCCTTGAACGTCGCATTTAATKGTCGAAAAGGGTTTTTGAGATTTTGAGTAAACAAGATGACAGGATATTGAGAAGTGCAATTTTTGATACCAAGACTTTTTGGCACATTGTCTTAGCTTACAGCTTATTTAATTCAGACCGCGCTGCTGCAAGCTAAAGAAGAAAAGAAAAGAAAGGAAAGGAAAGGAAAGGAAAGCGGAAAGAAAAATACAAACAAACAAACAAGGATTGAAAAAGAAAAGAACAAATATATCGGGCATTTTTTAGTTTATATTGTTTCTTATTGTCTTTGTCTTGTTGTAGCAGTCGTAAATTCCAATTGGATTTAATTGGTTAAAATAAGACTACCATACCTTATGTAACTGATCGAAGTAAGAACATTTCAACCTTACTTTCTGCCCCTCTCTCCTTCTCTGCTCTCACCCGTCCCCCAGGCACTAAATAAATTAGACAGCGGCACCATGCAGCTGGCATTTTTTGAGAAGACTGATGTTGGTGGTATGTATGTGTGTGTGTGTATGTGTAGCAAAGGAGTTGCAGTAAGGAATAGTTCAATGTACGATATGGAATCGCATACTCATAGACATGTGTACTTATAATAGCTCCTCTTGCATACTAGGCTTTCGTTTTTCTTCTTATTTTATTTCCATAAGGAAACATTTAAAAATCATCTAGGTCAAAAAGAGGGAGGAGGGGAGTGGAGGGTAGCGTCTATAACTTCCCTGCCTCGATCGATTCTACATTAGCTAGTCCCAATATCTACGTGTCTAAAAGAAAGAAAGGAAAGAATAATCTAGTATCACATGGCTCTGATTGAAAATTGATGGATCAATTATAAGAAGTAATGCAAATAAAAGAGAAAACAACCGACAGATTTCAAAAAGCTTTTATCTTATTTGTTGTACGTGTGAGACAAGGACATAAGGTAACAAAGATTCGAGAGATGAATTGGTGAATTACTGATAGAACAGACACGGTAACCGAGTCAACGCAACATCCCAAACCTTCCAACCTCTTTCTTTCTTCTTTCCTTGCATTCATGCATTATTCCTTTTTCCTGTCAGCTATTTTTCTTTCATCATTTCCTTCATTCCTTTTTTTCCTTTTCCCTTTCTATTTACAGTAAATTCTGTATCAGTCATGCATGTGTTAATGTACAATAAGGAGAGTATTAATATCCCTTTCTATCTATAATCTAAGAAATCTAACTTCATTCAAAAGAATGTTAAGCTTGACATGCAGGGATCTGGATTCGTTACCTTATAATGATAATTCAATGTCACTTATCCACTGTAATACTCTATATCTAAGACTATATACTATATGAGAGAAAACTTGATGATTATTGAAGGAAACTAGTATGCCAAGTCAGAAGGATAAAAGATTAAAGGACAGGTTTAAGGAAAGTGCTCAAAATATTTAATTACTGATAATGATCAAAAATTTTAGACTCGACATGACTTCGCCTGTCCAGATTTATGTTATCATTGAAATATTCACATCTTATCGATACCTTGAAACAACTTCTGGGCTTATAAAAGTCAGGGCATGGCTATTGCTTACGTGGCATACTCCAGAACGATTTCAAGGGGGTAACTGTACTGTTACCTAAAAAGGCATCGCATAGCGTCCTTCTTAGGTTTTACATCATATTTATTCTTATTATTTTCACCTCTAAAGGGAGGTAGCGAGTCACTAAATACACCCTCCTGGATCCACACTTATTAAAGATCGAAAAATCAAGACTCAAATCAAGAATTAAGCTATCGTTGCTTTCTTCAAAGGCACTAGTATCCCTTCTCCTTGGCCCTAAAAAAAACAACAACATAAGTTAGAATTTAAGTATTTTTTCCGGTTTTTATTTATTTATCCCGTCTAACGCTTGTATCTCAGTAAATAATCGGGGCTCTCATTGGAGCGAACAATTTTAGCCAAAGTTAYAATTGCGACCGCCTACTCACTACAGCCAACCAAATTCAGCATTATGAAGTGTGCATTGCCATCATTACCTTAGCCCGTGGCGTTGTTTGGGTGTCTGCGGTGTTGCGAAAAAGAGCTGGAAATTAAAGACCCTTTTTCTCTCCCGCCTTTTCCCTTCTTTGCAACACCGCAGGCCAACGAGAATTGCAGGCTATCTTTACCTGGGTACGATGATACAGCAGCCAATGATGAGGATGATGACGATGACGAGAAGTAAAAACAAAGAGAAGGACAGCAGTATGAGTACAGTGGGAGGACGCCTTTTATCATCGTTGTCTTGTCCTTGTCCTTGTCCTTGTCCTGAAGCTGAGAAAAATCGAAAAATTTAGATTTAAAAATGTTGAAATATTTTCAGAAAAAAAGCTTGGATAAGAGCAGCGCTCTGTAAAATATAATGACCAACTGAGATGTTTGTTTTCAAGATAAAGGACGAAGGTCCCCAGTTCTATAATTCCCGAGAAATTTTAGCGACATTATTCGAAACTCATTCCACTTTTCATTTTTATTTCCTATTTCCATTAACCAACATTTCACTTCCAGTGTACGAGATTCCATTCAATTATTCCGCTTACTTTACCCAGAAGGACCCCATATGGACCAGAATGCTGAGTTCACCAATGTTCGCGCTTAAAAGAGCTAAGAGTATTTTTTATTGTTAAGAATGTAATAGACCCCTTGCAGCACGTTGGAATGCAGCTCAATTTGGAGGACATAACAATAGGTTCCCAATTCTCATGAGATTGAAATTCTTTTGTTTTGCCCTCATCCGAATTAAGCTCCTCTTTGACGTCACATGCAAGGGGTATATTGTTTAACAAACATGTGCCTGTGAAACTACGTACGTAATCCTGACGATCCTGTAGGAGTAGTAGGAGTAACACCAGCAGKRCTGGATGRTGMTGCTGCTCCAGTAGCGGCACTAGACGTGATCGAAGCTGCCCCTGCAGTGGTAGCAACAGTAGAGGCCGCAGTGGTAGTCACAGTAGAGGCCGCAGTGGTAGGGGCCGCAGTGGTAGGGGCCGCAGTGGTAGGGGCCGCAGTGGTAGGGGCCGCAGTGGTAGGGGCCGCAGTGGTAGGGGCAGCAGTTGTTGTAGGAGAGGCACTAGCTATAGTAGAGGCTGCTGTAGTCGTAGGCTCTATGAATATTGATGAGCCGACATTACTCATTGCAGAGAAATGAAATAAAAAAACGCGAGTCGCCCTCGAACGTCGAGGGCGACAACCATTGATCTTTAATCAAACGCTGCGCAGAGTCCAGGAAGCACGCCAACCTTAAGTTCATCAGTATAGGTCTTAGAGTATCAGATAAGACATGGGCTTGGTTGCTATTAGTAGCGATCGATCGTTTATCAGTTGCCGATATGAGCCTATYCTTCGTTTGCATGTTACGTCATCGCGGCCATTTTGGTACCATTTAACAAAAACATTTAGCATCCATTGTTAACGGTACCACAATGGCCGCTATGTTTTTGTCTTTTAACTCTGTTGGGAATGCTTGCAAYCCATCAATACTACAACTAARTTAACTACTCCGAAATCTTGAGCAAAAAATTTCTTACCTRGACAATTCAGTTGGATTCCTGAAAGAGAAAATGAAGAAACAATTGATAAATATAGCCCTTTTCACCTTGGACGTGGTATTTAAATTCTGTAGCAYTAGAAATAATAGAGTGTGTGTTACCATATGTGACTCAAAATCCCTTGAGCTATGAATAACAATGAGACAGCCGCCATCTTAGTTGATCTAACGAGAGAAGCTAATGAGGAATGCTTCGTTATCGTCAACCAAGATGGCGACTATGACGTAACATGCACATGCTCTATAGACGGGATGTCTAATAAAGTCCTACCGGTGGACGGGCTAGAATACATCTGTTGAGCCTCCGTTCGGTTTAATGATCTGAAGAAGAAAGCCAATTGCGATAGAGCAACCTGTCTTCCGCCAAAGAGAGCGCTCGTATTGTCGTGGCCAATCAACAARCTAGTTTCGGTGTCAGCGTGTGTACAACTCGTCTCGTATCGGGCCGTTTCTTTATGTGTACCGTTAACATACACGTAGAACTTGTCTGCAGCTGTTGTACCAGCAGGATTGTAAACTGCAACTACGTGCGTCCAATCACCAGGAAATGAGATTTCTGCTGGGTAACGTTTTGTGCCATCACACAGGATGACGTTTGTGTGAGAGTTCCTGGAATTGAGAATGTGGTACTTAGATATAACAAGACTGATCAAATTTTATCACTTCCTGGCTAGCGCTTCCTCCAACCTCTCTTTCCTTCCTTCCTTCCTTCCTTCCT